GCGCATCCCGGAAAATATGTTAGTGTTGCCTGACAAAGAGTTGTCCGATGATGACTTGTCTGACGACTTGTCCAGATAGGAGTAGATTGTGCAACGTGTCCAGATAGAAGTAAATCGTGCAAGAGACGCGGCAGAAGGTTAGTCGGATGTGGAGGACCGATGCCTCAGCAGGAGCTCAAGCTTGTGTAGCTCAATTTTCTTCCTCTGTTGCTCTTTCAACAACATTAACGTCTCTAGACATCGGCCATGCTGAATTACAGAGAACCAAGTCTCTGGTGTATGCATGTCTTGGTGGTACATAATGCCCGAGTGCCCGAGTGAAGCCCGGGATTCGCAGCATACAGTCGTGTGCTTTCCCATGAAGACTTTCCGCAATCACGCTTTTGAGTGGGGTCTCAAAGGTTCCAAAAAAATGCGATTGTATTGTATGACATTGCTTGAATTTTACGAGCGCGAGAAGCCGATTGACCTCATGTTGTATGCGGACATTTAGTCGATGCTGCTATCGTTTGCTTAGGACAACAATGTGTAATTAACTTAACTCAAAGGTCTGATAATGACCATGCAAATCTGCTGCCGGCCTGCATGCACGAGTGGCTGGTTCAACATCTCCTTCTCTACTATGAAGGGTAGGCTTTGGACACGTCCGATCCCTTAGAACGCACACGCGAAGCCTGGGCAACACTCCTGCATCGTGGCCGTCTACGTTCACCACAGTCCATTTGAATATAATGTGCAAGCGTAGTCCGGCGATGCTAGAACATCGGCATCCATCACTCTCCCCTCCGTCTCTCATTCTCTTAGCGGAAAGTTGCCCCTCGCCTTCCGGCGGATGCTGAACACCCGAGTCTCGCAGGATGAAGTACAGCGCATCTCGGATGCCATCATGCGTCAGCGTGCGCGCTTTCCACCTAGGGAACAGCGTATGCTCCGCCCCGATTCACTCCTTCTTGCACTCACACTGCCGAATCCCCGGGTGAGGAACGCCCAGCAACGCTGTGGTGAACCCACACACACACGAGCCCGGTATAAATGGGTCGGCAACGCCAACAGTCCGAGGATATAACCACTGAACCACTGAACCACGTGAACCGCAGTGACTGCACGCAGAGCTTTTTCAGTTCCAGAAGCGTTTTCGCAGTTCGGGGTACCCCCCGGGCCACGGAGCTGGGGCGACCAGGTTGCGGAGGCAAAAGCCTTCCAAACGGAAAGGGGGGGTCACGTGGCGGCACGAGAGTGGTTGAAATTTATGCCGTTCAACAGATGGTTAGTTGGGGAGCACGCCGGTACCGCCCCCATTGCAAACTCGACAATCTTGTTAGCTGAGATGGTAGTCGAATATGTTGGTGTTCCGGATGTCATAGTGTCAATCTACCGGCTGGATTTGTGTCGTCCAACATCGCAGTTTTCCTTTTATAACCTGTCAGTGTCCGAGGTCGCAGAATTGCATGAATCGGGGCGAACCGGGAACCCTTCTCTCGAACTTGGTAAAGCTTCTCTAACCCAAGGTTAAACGTTCTTGACTCGTGCTGGCATCATGAACTGCACTAGCTGCTGCTCAACGCTGCAGCTGTTGAAGATTCAAGACCTCGACTCGGACAAGGTGTTCAACTCATGATACGGTAGGGC